TGGAACACTGGTGCCACTCTGGTTCTTGTTCACTTTGTAACAGTGTTTCCTTTCTCTAAAGGTAGCTGTGGAAAAGATTACCACAGCCACCAGCCTGTCGCGCTGTGTGTGTGTGTGTGTGTGTGTGTGTGTGTGTGTGTGTGTGCGTTGCAGCATGTGCACATGGGTTTTATGCTGTGATCACTAACCTTGGTTGTCGACATATCTGGGAAGGGGGAATCTCAATTAAGGAATTGTCTCCATCACATTGGTCTGTGGGCATGTCTGTGGGGCATTTTCTTAGGTGCTGGTTGATGGAGGAGGGCCCAGTCCATTGTGGGCAGTGCCATCTTTAGGCAGGTGGGCCTGGACAGTATAAGAAAAGGGGTTGAAAAGAAGCCAAGCAAGCAGCATTCCTCCATTAGTTTTGGCTTCAAGCTCCACCTTGAGTTTCTCCCTTGGCTTCCCTTAATAATGAATTGTGTCTTGGAAGTGTAAACCAAATAAACCCTTTCCTCCCCACAAGTTGGTTTTGGTTAGTGTTTCATAGCAGCAACAGAAACCAAAGTAGATATACCAAACAGATGTGGATAGATAATCAATTGACTTGAACTAATCCATTGATGAGTTCTGACTGAAAGTGACCTTGAACAAACATTGCCTGTTCTGGAGGTTTTCCTTCACTTGTTAAGAGGACTCACGATATCCAAGAGTCACTGCAAAGCTAGGATCCATAAAGACATGTGCATCCAGCTACCTCTAAGGAGTTCTATGGCTGAGCCTCCCCAGGTGGCCAGTTATAGCATTTAATGAGTCATGTCAATGCTATCATCACATTCCATCACTTTTGACTTGCCTCTGGCTAGAAGAAGCATGCTGTAAAAGCCACAGTGTGGTTCCCTGGCAGGCATACCCCAGACCTTGCTGGCTCTGGTCAAGTGGTCTTGTCTGGATTCTTCAGTTCTCTTCTATAGGGGTGGCAGGAGCCAGTGTCAAGTCCCCTGGACAGGGCCATGTTCAGTGACTGTGACCTCATTATCAATGTTTAAGGATATGTTAGACCTGTGCTCCAGGAAGCCTGGCCTGGCTGAAGCCAGGGAGACTGGGGACCTGGTCGCTATGGAGATCAATCCTTCTACAACCCCAGTGAGAGCAGGAAATTTTGTTTAAAAGCAGAAGAAAATGAGCTTCAGTTCCTTAGCAAACTGAATCAAAATATTCTGAGTTTCTATTCTGGCATTTTAGTCTTTCAATGTTGCCCTTAGGAATTCAGAAAACAAATGCTCTTCAAAATGGTGCGCGCGTGTGTGTGTGTCTGTCTGTCTGTCTGTGTCTGTGTGTGTATGTGTGTGTATGTGTGTGTGAGAGAGAGAGACAGACAGAGAGAGAAACAGAGAGACACAGAGAGACAGAACGCGTGTGTGTGTGTCTGTCTGTCTGTCTGTGTCTGTGTGTGTATGTGTGTGAGAGAGAGAGAGACAGACAGAGAGAGAAACAGAGAGACACAGAGAGACAGAGCATGTGTGTGAATTCACTGTTTTTGTTTTTGTTTTGTTTTTCTGTCTTTTTGAGACAGGGTCTCCCTGTAGCCCCAGTTGGTTAGAACTCACTATACAGACCAGGCTGGTCTTGAACTTACAGAAATATCTGCCTTCCTCTTTCCTGAGTGGAGTTCACTGTTTTGGTTTTTTTGTTTGTTTGTTTTGTCTTTTTGCTGTTGAACTCAGGTACCTGGTTATCAACATCTTTTATCTTTTTGATGCTTGGGAATTGAAGTTCTTTTAAGTTTTAGACCAACGGCATCTATCGAGAGGGTGACAGACCAAAGACCACTGGAGCACACAACAGAAGTCAATCTGTGGAGCTGGGTGTGCTGGCTACATTTTTTGCAAACTTTAACAACTTATTTGCATTTTATTATCTTCATCTTTAAAATATAGACAGTAGTTCACCCTTCTTCCTGTTAATCTTACAAGGACTAAACCAAGTGTGATATTTGGACATGTTTTACCAGCTCCAATGTTCTATGAATATATTAGTTAGCATTTTATATCTATGCTTCCTACAAACACTGGTGGTCCTTCGGTGAGGGCTTCCAGGCCAGAGGACCAGGCCATTGATGGAAAATGTGCTTCAGCATTGGCTGCGTAATCTGACTACATCTGATCATCACTCATGGAGCTGGTGAAATACAGAATCCCAGATGCTCTGACTTGGAAACCCTGAAGTGGAGGTAGCCCAAGAAACTGAATCTTTAGCCAGCATTTAAGGTGAGTCTATAATGAACTCTATAATGTGAACTCTATAATGTGAGAATTAAGGATCCAATGGGGTGTCCAAAATACATTGGTTTAGTCTATAAATAGTGTGTGCGTGCCTATTCAGAAACAGGAGACACAGGTGAACAGCTGTTTTGGTGTCGCATACCAAGTATGAGATGAAAACACACAGGCAACTTGAACTATATAGAACAAAGGCTGAGGAGATTGCTGGCATTCTGCAGTTGCCTTCCCTGGGAAGCAAAGCCACCCACACACATTATCAACACAGCTTTGAAAGACGGATAAAGAAGCCCAGGCTCAGGGAGACAAGGAACCTTCCCAGCATCTTGTGAAGTCAGTGAGTAGTATGCTGGAAAATGCTTAAACATAGGCTCAGAGGGTGTGGAGCCCCGGGTTGTGACACTTGCTGATTTCTGTGGTGCAGATGCCTCTGGCACATTAGGTTTCAGTCTCTGAAGAGAGGATGGAAAGAGGCTCCCAGCACACCCTTATGAACTGGTCTGAGCTGGTCCCAGCACTCTGCTATGTACAGGTGTCAGTCAGTGCAATGACTATTAATGAGTTTCATCTGTGGAAGTACGGAGGCAGAGGACGTCACTTTCCCCGCCCTCCCAACACCTTACGTGAGCTTCATCCATACTTGATGCTACATGTGGGGAGATAATTAAGTGTGATAGGGGACATGCAATAGTTCCCTTAGGGAAAATGTCTAAGATTGGCTTATTTTTTCCAGAGGTTTGAACTCAGCACATGCAGTCACTGCTGACCACACCATAAGGTTCTGGAATACAAGGAGGTGACATCTCACAGAGAGGGAGGGAGCTGAGGAAGTTCTGAGAGTTGCCACCTACCTCTCCATCACACACCTTTCCTAGAGGGTCTGGACTGGGGACAGGTGAGCCACTGTCGCCACATGCTTGCCTGAGGGCAGGCCGAGATTCTATATGTCCCAAGTTCTCATGATCTGGATCAAATTGAAAGTCACAGTCCTCTCACTCTCTGAACAGTTCTGACATGTTCCGTTTTTTCAAATATTTTATATTTTTTAAATTTTTTATGTGTATGAATGTATTGCCTGCTTGTGTGTAAGTGCACCTGTGTCATGCAATGCCCATGGAGGTCAGAAGAGGGCATCAAATCCTCTTGGAACTGGAGTTTCAGAAGGTTGTTAGCCACCATGTGGGTGCTGGGTCCTCTTAACCACTGAGTCAATGCTCCAACCCAGTTCTGACATGCTCTATCATCCACATCCCTTGTAAAGAATAGACAGGCAGCTGGAACTGGATACCAGGAGTGCCCAGTACCAGTCATACAGTGGTGACTGCGAACTGATATGGAGCTCTCCTGGCCTAGGGCATGCCCAAAGGGTGTCCTAGTGAGCCCCAAGTGTCCTTTCAGTAGGTCTGAGGATGCATCTAAGTCTGTGGCTCAGAGTGATGTGAGAAAGCTCTGGAGACCAAGTGTCCAGCATCACAGCAGCTATGAATAGATGGGCGGGGAGGGGAGGTCCTCAGGAGATATCTGTGAATAGATGGAGAGCATCTCTGGAGATATCTGGGAACAGTCTGGGGGTCTCAGGAGATAGCTAGAATGGGGGAGAGGTCTCAAAGCTATCTGGGAACAGATGGAAGGATCTCAAGAGCTATCTGGGAACAGTTTGGAGGAGGTGTCCCAGGTGATATCTTGGATTAGATGGAGGGAGGTCTCCTGATCTGAGGAAGATACCTGATTCTTGACCATGCAGGACAGAGTGGTGGGCTCCCTCACCTCTCAGCAGAATAAGCCCACCCCACTACCCCAGCTCCTCTCAGTAAGGCCAGCAGCAGCCCTGGAAGCTGAGCAGCTGTGGGACAGGTGGTCTGGGTCAAGGTCTTCCCAGCCTGGCTGGTTGGGACAGGTGGTACAGAGGTGTGAAGGTGCCCAGGCATCTTTCCTTTCCCCTGATTTTCTTGACTCAGCCTGTCTTTGGCACATCTAAGGGAGGAAGGATGGGAGGGGGAGCCACGGGGAGCCAGTTACTCTAAAGAGAGCTTGCATGGCTCCTTCTCTCCAGTGTGTGTGTGTGTGTGTGTGTGTGTGTGTGTGTGTATTTCCGTGTTAGAAGCTGTACGGATTCCTGAGAGAAAGGAGAAAATTGGGGGTGGGAGAGACAGACGGAGAGGAGAGAGGGAGAGAGGGAGAGGGAGAGAGAGAGAGAGAGAGAGAGAGAGAGAGAGAGAGAGAGAGAGAGAGAGAGAGCGAGAGAGAGCGAGAGCGCAGAAAGCGAGAGCACACCTCGGAGACCAAGCAGAGAGGGGGAGGCAGAGAGAAAGCCAGAGAGCAGGAGGGTGAGCTGAGCTTAGAGGGACCGGGTGCGGGCGGGAGCAGGCAGAGGCAGAGCCAGGACCTCAGGCGCCTGCTGTCCAGGATCCCGGGGCACTGCAGGCTCGGAGTTCAGCGGCGCACAGGGCGCTAGGCGGAGAGGTGGTGCCGGGCTCAGGGTGACCGCGAGCTCAGGTGCTCGCCTGCTTGCCGGGCGGTGACCCAGACTCCGGGTGGCTCCGCGCCCAGGCTCTCCAGGGAGGTGGCGTGGTCTTGGGGTGGCTGTGTGTCTAGGTGTTCGCCGAGGAGGTGGCGCGGGGCTCCGGGTGGCTGGCCGCCCTCCGGGGAGCCATGGTGACGGGGGCCAGGGGTCGCCCGGCCACCGCGCCGCCGAGGGGCTGAGCCGGCCGCGAGCTGCGCGATGGCGGCACCGGGTCGCGGGCCCTGAGCGCCGGCGGCGGGCGCGCACCATGAACTCTTGGGACGCGGGCCTGGCGGGGCTGCTGGTGGGCACGATCGGCGTGTCGCTGCTGTCCAACGGGCTGGTGCTGCTCTGCCTCCTGCACAGCGCAGACATCCGCCGCCAGGCACCGGCGCTCTTCACCCTCAACCTCACGTGTGGCAACCTGCTGTGCACCGTGGTCAATATGCCGCTCACGCTGGCCGGCGTCGTGGCGCAGCGGCAGCCGGCCGGGGACCGCCTGTGCCGCCTGGCCGCCTTCCTCGACACCTTCCTGGCTGCCAACTCTATGCTCAGCATGGCCGCACTCAGCATCGACCGCTGGGTGGCCGTGGTCTTTCCGCTGAGCTACCGTGCCAAGATGCGCCTCCGCGACGCCGCGCTCATGGTGGCCTACACGTGGCTGCACTCGCTCACCTTCCCCGCGGCTGCGCTCGCCCTGTCCTGGCTCGGCTTCCACCAGCTCTACGCCTCGTGCACTCTGTGCAGCCGGCGGCCGGATGAGCGCCTGCGCTTCGCCGTCTTCACCGGCGCCTTCCACGCGCTCAGCTTCCTTCTGTCCTTTGTTGTGCTCTGCTTCACGTACCTCAAGGTGCTCAAGGTGGCCCGCTTCCACTGCAAGCGCATCGACGTGATCACCATGCAGACGCTTGTGCTGTTGGTGGACATCCACCCCAGGTGAGGGCCTGACCTCTGGGAACCGGGTAGGGAGTGGGGAGGTCCCAACATCCAGGCTGGGGCAGTGGAAGACCCCCTTTCCACCTAGTCCCATTAAGCAAGAGTGGGGTGAGGGGCTGATGACAGATGCTTAAGCAGATGTCGGGAGCTTCCCTTTGTAAAGCATGGGACAGAAACCCGAGCCAGAACTTCCTTGGCTTGCCTGTATTCATCCTAGGTTGATAGCTTCCTCGTTTAATGGTACATGGAATGGAGTGGGCTTTGTTTGCTGTTCAAAGCTTTTAAAAGGTTTGGAAGGGCCTTGAGAGGAGGGTCTAGCTCTTAGGAAGCTCTTAAGAGCACTTCAAACTGAGGGTGCCCCTCCTGTTAGTCCTTCCTCTCCTGAGTCTGGTGCTGCCTGGGTCTCCCCACCCTGAGTCCTCATCAGATGGAATCTTTTCCTGTGGTGGGTTATGAGGGAATCTGGGCTCCCCTGACTCCCCAGAGGGCCCTAATCAATGTCTTCTGGAGTGGGAGCCCCAAGGCCTCTGCCAGAATTTGCACCTCAGGCCCTTGGGACTAAGTCCACCCACCCCACCTCCAACCCCCTAACCTCCTGTTTTTCAGGAAGAAGAGGGAGGCAGGTAAATTGAAGGATGGACTAGGAACCCCTGTGGTCCTCAGAGTCTCTTAGGGAGAGGAGAAAACTGTCAGGCAAGCTGTCCTGAGCGCACCTCAGCTTTTCTCCTGAGAATAGGAAATCAAGAGGAAGGGTGTTTCTATAGCCTCTGCTGGTTTATATATGTACTGAAAGCAGGCTTCCCCTTTGCTGGCTGCCTCTAGATAAAGACTTAAGCAACCAACTGGCACAGAAGGTACCACAGGCAGAGAGTACTGGGGATGGAAGGGTACAGTCCAATGTGTGAACAGAGCCCCAGTGTACAGGAAGTCTCAGGGTGGGGTAGAGACTGCGGTACCCAGGGTGGGCTTGCCCTCCAGGGTATAGCAGGGAAACTGGAGCTGTTAGTTGGAGCAAAGGCTCCTTGTTGGACTTTCCTGCCTTCAACAGTAACAAGCAGTCCTTGAACTTCGCCTGCAGACCGGAAGGGCATGGCTGCATGTGTCTAGTTCCCCTCTGAGCAGTCCTCCCAGGTGACAGGCTGGATCAGTCTTTACACAGACTCTTCCCCACAGAAACACACAAAGTGTACATGCATCAGCTGTCCGCCCATGTTTGCACAGTTCAGAGTTGTTTGGGGAGATAGTTGCAGCCGTGCTTGCAGAACGGGTCTCTTCCCATCACCCTTCACTTCAGAAAGGGGTATCCCTGGGGCTCCTGAAGATGCAGGGAAATGTTAACTCTTAACTTGCAGACTTGAAGTAGTCCTAGAGAGAGCCCACTCACCCCGAGCCTCCCCGTGGAGGGGAAGAGAGGTGGAGCTGGGAGAGGAGCCTGTTCCATTTAGAGCAGTGCAAAACCATCCTGGCTCTCAACCCCAGAGAGGAGGGGCAGAGGCACCCTTGCAATCGGTCTCAGGTGGAGAACATGCCCTGCTCTAGCTGATTTCCGTGACTCCGGGCCAGACACTGCAGAGTTTCCAGGGGTCTTATAAAAAGGAACAGACACTCAGCTGGAATCCAGATCTCTGTTCCCTCTGGGGGGACCTTGACCTCCTCTAAGCCCCAGGTTGTTTTGAAAAGCCTCTGCTCTCAAACCCTCCGGGGAGCTCCATCGGCTGGTAAGCCCCTCAGTGAACACAAACTATCCTTCCCAAAGGGCTCAGTCTGACCAAGAAGGAATGTTGGGGGGGGTGGACTCCACAGAAGGGGCTGTCAGTTGACAGGGGACTGCCTGACAGTTGATCTTCTGGCTGTCACCTTGGTGGCTCTGAACCATTCCTCTGCACAGTTGAGAAGCTGTTGCCTTAGCACTGAGGGCTGGTGTCCTGGAGCCTGGTCCCAGCTCAGACTCTGGTCTCCTTTGGTGCAAAGAGCCTGTGAAATCTTGTGGTGTCAGTCCAGGTCAGTCTTTGGACAGCCAGAACAGCAGGTAGAGTCCTGGCTCACTGGAAGTTTGTCTTAGCAACCACACTAAAGGCCTTCTGGGACTTAGCTCAAAGGGACCTGCCTGTGTTGTCTGAGATAGGCTTTGTTAGGACTCTCTCAGCAGGGGCTGATCTGAGTAGCAAGCTTTATCCCTTTGCTACAATCACCCCTAGACAGCAGGAACTCTCTTTTCTAAATCTGAGGCTTTGAGTGGCATCTCCCACTCCTGTCATTCTGTGATGGTTTCTCAGGTCACTACACTTAGGAAGCAAGTTGGGTTTTCCAGTGTCTGGGCCATACCTAGTTCTCCACCTTCCCCGTGCCTGCTATGCAGCTCTCCCAGCCACAGCTCTGGGCTGGCTCTAACCAGACCTCTTTCTGGTTCTGTCAGACACCGCTGAATAGGTTGGGCCAGATGGCCTGGCTGCAGTACCCTGCTCTTTCCAGCCCAGCTGAGGTCAGGCTCACCATCTCAGGTGGATGACTTCCCAGTGACAGGCTGTCGATGAAAGTCTTCCTTAGAAGCAACTGAAGCTGAATGGGAACTTCCTCGCAGTGCTCCAGTGGTCTCTCTCCTCAACATCTTGTGATCCATGAGAGGCTGGCTGAGGCCTGGCTTTGCAAAGTGGCAGAGGGTGACAGAGTAAGAGGAATCTCATTGTGCCCTTGGCTTTATGATAGAGGAAATTGGAAGAGCCCAGGAAGGGAGGCACTTGCCAAACTCTAGGAAGCGGCTCAAGCCGAGATCTATACCCAAGTCTGTCCTTGCAATTTATAGATGGAGCAACCAGGCAGATAGAGACTCAGGAACTGTCTGTGTAGATGCTTAAAAGTTCTAAATTTAGCTTACGAACTGTTACATGAAATACCTTCTAACCTCCTATCTTGTCAACCTCATAACAACTTGCAAGATGAGTCTCAAATTTAGGATTCACAAGCTCCTTGAAGGTCAGCCTTGTCTGGCCTAAGGAGCATGCAAAGTAGTCCATCTGTTTTACACCTTCATCCCCATTCCCCTGCGTACCACAGGCACCTCCCTGCAGCTGAGCACATCTGCAGCATAGTCTACCATCAGGCTTGGGACCATGGGAGATGCCTGCATGTATTTTGGAAATAGAATCAAGGTATTTGGGCAAAAGGCTCTGTGTTCCAGGATATTAGAGTTCAGTTGCAAATAGCATGTGGGAAAACTCCTGAGCCCTGTAAATTGTTCACCCTTTAATGTGCAAGGCCCAGGGCGAGGACCTGTCTTGCTAGATCTGAGAGGGGGATTGATTGCTCACACCAATATCCTGACCCTAAACTCAGGGTTCTTTTCCATCACTAGCCAGAAAACTAACTGGGCCAGTCTCTGAGTATTCAAGAGTGGGGTCTGGATGGACAGTGGTCCCCTGGGATCATTGAGGATCAAGAGCCTTTGCAGAAGGCTTAGAGGTAGGTCTCTGTGGCCAGGAGGCTTCTGCAGCCCCTCCCTTTCTGACTGTTCAGACAGCCCCCAGAGTCTCTTTGCCTGATACTGAAGACTGCTGGACACATCTCTTTGATACCATGCGCCACAATGCCAGAGATCTATCTCCTCTGGTCTTGGAAGTCTTTGTCTTGCATCTTATGCCAAGCCCCTCTCCCAACCCTAAGCCAGCATACATGTTCATGCCCTGGCCAGGTTTCCTTGAGTAAGCTTTGTGCCTCTAGCCTTCTGCACCATAGACTCTGCCTAACAATCTAAGTAAGAACTCTGGGGCTGCTACCAGGCTCAGGGGTCATGAGAATGCTCTGTGGTTTTAAGGGGGGAAGAGGAGGTAAAGGAAACACCCAGAATCTAACTAAGGTTAGGAGACTTGAGATGAGACTTAGTTCTGTCTCAAACAGTGAGTGTGACCTTGGGCGTGTCCTAAGTGGATCAGGTCCCCAGTGTCCTCATCTGCAAATAAGCACAATGACAGTTCATGGGGCTGCAAGATTTCAAGAAGCTCAGTTTGCAAAGCTCTGGGGAAAATTAATGACAGCCGATGCCAGTGGTTTTGTGCTGCTCGCATTTTGAGAGCCCAGTGAGCTGTCTCGTACCATGACTAAACGATGCTGGTACTAAGCCAAGAGTCAGACTGCTTCCCAGGAGTGTAGAGTTAGTTGCCTGACTTTACTCATGTCCTGCAGCACCCCATTGTCACCCAGGAAGCAGGAGGACCTAGGCAAAGGTGGAACGGGCCTCAGCCTCTTCCTTTACAAGAGTTCAGGGAAGGGGCGACATGCTCCTGACTGGGAGCATTGGGCTGGCAGCCAGTGCCAATGTGCCTGAGGTCCTACCTGTCCCTGACTCCTAGGGCAGTCAAGTCCTTCTCCTCTCCCAGGCCTCAGTTTCCCCATCTGTGAGCAGAGGTGAGTACATTGCTGTCAGTCTAGTTGCTCTGTCCCAGTAGAGACATGACTCCAAGCACAGTGTACACTCTCCAGACACTCTGTGTTCCACTATGTGTCATTAGACTCTGTGGGGGGTCCCTGGAGGCCCAGCGGGGGTCCACAGCCCACCCAGAGTCAGGCCTCCATGCCAGACTGTCTGAGGCTAGCTCACAGCTGTCTCTCTTCTATGGACACAGCATGGGACAGGAAGAACTTCTGCAGTAGGAGGAACCTCTGTGGTTTAGGGGTTCAAGGCAGAGCTGGAACATAGTGTGCCCCTGTTGAATGGAGTGGAGCCACAGTTGGCAATTTCTAAGTGCTTACTCAGTCAGGCGCAGTCCTTGGTACTTTTTAATACCTTAACTGTGTTACTTTTAGTGTCACCCTGCCCACAAGGCAGATACTATTGCCCTTGTTCTAGAGACAAGGAAGCTGATGTACAAAGAGGCCACTTGCCTAAGGCCACACAGCAATTAAGAGGTGCCTTGGTTTGAACCCAGAAGTCCAATTCCAGCACTTCACAGTTCACACTTAACCACTAGGCTAATTAGCCAAGAAGGGAGGTCAGACAGTGAAGTGAGGCCCGAGGCCAGACAGCTGCAGAGTGCTTCCCACTTCACCTGTCACTGTAGTCATGACACAGCTAATCACCAAAGATTTGTGCAGCCTGGCAGTGTGTAACACTGACTGTCCAGCCTTGCCTTCCTTCAGTCATCCAAGTGTCTGTCCCTCTGAAGACCCCCAAGGCCTTTACTAACATTGAGTTCCCCTGCTTTGGAGAAGGGAGGTGTGCTGTGGTACAGGAGGAGCCTGCAGCCCTTGAGGCAGCTGGGCCTCAGCAGAACCCCGACTCCTCAGGGAACATGATGAAGCCCCCACCATTCAAAGCCCTACCGGCTTGTGAGTCATGTCTGTTCCTTATCAATGGGCAGTGACTCTAATAATGTAGTTAAACCACGCCCCTCTGAAAAATGAGACTGCGTGTTCAGAGAGGGTCAGTGACTTCCCAAGGCTTCAGAGTGATGAGGGCAGAGCTCAGCACACCCAAGCCAGGGGCCTTTAAACTAAAGCACCTGACAGCAGCTGACAACACTGTCAGGGTCACAGATGGCGCGGGGGTGGGGGGGAACCCTCTGGGTGCTTCTGTCCCATGTCCAGGGCTTTGTTATGAATTTGACAATCCTATTTATTGGGTGCCAGAGTGCTCCTCTGTTGTCACAAGAACAGTGTCCTGACATGGCTCAGGGCACCTGATTCACACCCCTAATCTCTATCCCATGGCTCCTCATCAGTGGCTCTGGAAGTGTGGAGGGAATCGGTGGACACTGGAGTCAACAGGCCTCTGTGTGGAGCAGAATGCTGAGCCTTCTGCTCACAGGGTCACCTTGTGCTACTTTGCCCTGAGTTGAGGTCCCCAGACTGAGGGACTTTGAGTTTTAAACCAAAACAGTTGAACTGGTCATGTGGCTGCACCCCAGACCTCTAGGCTGGTCTCCCTGGGCCCCATACACAGGCTGCACAAGTCGCAGGAGCCAGGGGACTTGAGGGAAAATGCCACAGAAACCCATATGTGATCAGAAAGTGGGGGGGATTTGAGTCCATAGGAGCTCGGTGACCTCAGCCCCACCACACGCCTGGCTCAGTCCACAGTTTCAGGGAATGAGGCCCTGGCGCCTCCCTAGCAGTGTGATGACGCAGATAGCTAGGGGTTGGGGGAATAGGTGCACTCAGTCCATGGCCTGGATTCAGATCCTGCTACCACCTGCCAGCCTGGCCTGCCTGCCAGAGACGCATTCTCAGATGTGGGACTCTCCTTTCAGAAACTAAGATAGTTTCCCGAAAACCATTTGGAATCAAAGACTTTGATTGCTAACATGGGCAATTCTTTGTCAACTGTTGCCCCTTGACAGCCACCGCTTAGGGACCATGTGAATTTTACTACGTGGCCCTGAACAAATGACTAAACTCTTCTGCGTCTTAGCCTCCTTCCCTCAACATCCTCCCTGGCTCAGAGACACTGTGTCAACTAAACAAGTATTCGTGAATCCCCATTACAGATGTGACATGGCACGTGTAAGAGACACTGCTCACTGTTAGCATTCATTATTAGAAATTAATTAGTGGTATTAGTTGTGAATAGCACATCTTCAGTCAATGGGAAACTTGTTGACACCAAGTCCTACTCTAGTCCTCAACTCTGTAAATGCCTGGAAAGGCAGAAGTCAAGGGGAAATTCCAACAAGGATTCCAGGATCCATCCACTCCACTAACACGGGACTGTCCATCTGTGATTGGAAACAGGAGGGAGGATTTCCACTGAACATTCAGGCTACAGGCCTGGAGAGATGACTCAGAGGTTAAGAGGACTGACTGCTCTCACAGAGGTCCTGGCTTCTATTCCCAGCACCCACATGGTGGCTAACACCCATTCTTAACTCCAGTTCCAGGGGATCCATTGCTCTCCTTTGACCTCTGCGAGCACTGCACAACAGGCGCACACTTACATACATGCAGGCAATACATTCACACGCATAAAAGAAAAATAATAAAATAAATATTAAAAAACATAAATAAAATTCAGACTATTCTGGAAACAGGAGCGGCCCTGGCTTTAACCATGTGCTTGGATCAGGCCCACAAGACCCCCTCTCTGGCTCACGAACCTTCTCTCTGTTGTTTGCTTTTGTGGAGCAGACCAGCCTGTCTTCAGAGCCAGGTCACACAGCCCAAGCCAGATCTACCAAGTTCTCTCCACTTGCTGGGTGACTCTGCCTCCAGTCCTCCTCCCTGCCCACACATACCAATGCTAGATGCCACAGGCCAGAGCTTGTGAGACCTGGAGCAGGGGCTTACCTTTCCGGGCACAGCCACTTTTCTGTGTTCTGCACCTGTAATACACTTACACTTGCATTCCCCCATCACTGTACACCACAGACTGCAAGAGCCGTTGCCTTCCTTGGACATAGAGATCTGTTCCCAGAAGATCCCAGAGCAGAGTGGAGCCCCAGGGTGTGACTAGAGGCATTGGTGGCTTCTCATTCCATCCTCCAAGCTATGCCCCCAATTCCAAAAGGATGTGATGGTCTCTTAGATTCTCTACTCTTGGTCTTTGGAGGAATCAAGCAACTCTCCTTCAAAGATCCCACTGTGGCATCTCTAGCTCCAGTCAGGGAATGAGGCTTTGGGATGGGAGCAGAGCTTCTGGTGTGAAGGTAACAACTCCCAAGCCACACTATGTGCACAGAGCCCGGACACCCTGATGAGAGAGACCAGCTTCAAGCCATAAGGACACAGTTCAGGGATGTTTTCCCTTGCCCGCTGCTCAGATCCCCCAGCATCACAGAACTCAGGGTCACCAGTACGAAACAGGGCAGGTGACAGTTACTTTGGCCATATTGCATCCACAGTCAGGAAGAAGCGGGATGAATGAAAACTAGTGTTGCTTTCTCCATTTTATACAATCTGGATCCCCCACCCAAGGAATGGACCTTCCCATAATTAAGATGGGTCTTTTCACATCAGTTAACACAATCAAGATAATCCCCACAGGCATGCTCAGAGGCCTATCTCCCAGGTGATTCTAGATTCTGTCAGATTGACAGTTAATACTAACCATCACAATAGACCCCACAGGCAGGGAAATGGCTCCTGGATCCTGACAGGGCTGAACATGGTAAAGATAAGAATTAGAGACACTAAATAGAAAATGTGGTCCTCCAGAGTTGTGAATGACACAAGCAGCTGTAATCAGATTCGTCCTTATTTGTAGTTATTTCCGCACAATTGCTAATTGCTTTATGCACTTATATACTGGACGCATTTCATGCATCTATGTGTGTGATGGTTAGTTTTAAATGTCAACTTGCAACAACCTAGAATTTTCTGGGAAGCAAGTTTCAATTGAGTAATTGTTTACATCAGGCTGGCCTGTGGGCATATCTGTGAAGGATGAACTTGATTGTTAATTGAAGTAGGAAGACTCAACCCACTGTGGGCAGCACCATTCCCTAGGGATGGGGGGCGGATCCTGAACTATATAGAACAGGAACAAACTGCGTGGGTGATACATTGTTTAGCCCTGCCTTAGACTGTGGATGTGATGTGACTAACTACTTGAGTTCTTGTCTTGACTTCTCCCCAATGAAGAACTGTAACCTGGAACTATAATTCAAATAAACCCTTTCCTCTCCTAAGTTGATTTTGATAAGTGTGTTTTATCACAGTAACAGAAAGGAAACCAGATCAAGGTGCTTTGTACCTTTAATTCTCCAAGCAGCCGTGTTTAACATCTCATTGCACTATCTACAATATCAGAAGGCACATAAACAAAATGTAGGGTATATCATTACATTGCAGATGATGACCTTGACAAAGCCATACACCTTGCCCAAGGGCACAAGACTTGGCCCCAGATCTCTGGCTCCATAGCTACATGTCTAGCCTAGATAGCATTGGTTTTGTTTATGTGTTGTGCTTCTCTATGACCTGCCCAGGTCAACTCCATGAGTCACTCTGTCCCCTCTGTCCTCTGTGCAGCGTGAGGGAACGTTGTCTGGAGGAACAGAAGCAGAGGAGGCAGCGTGCCACCAAGAAGATCAGCACCTTCATAGGGACCTTCCTCGTGTGCTTTGCGCCCTATGTGATCACCAGGTGAGCTGACCTACAGAAAAGGGATGGGTATGGGGGACCTAAGGGGGGCCCTGGGGCCTTTGGAAGACATTGTCCGTCTTGGCCACATGTTCTTCCTGAGGGCATGACACGGTGAGGATGAACTTGCTGAGTTTCATGAAAAATAACATGCATGCTACTCTTCAGTCTCTGACTCTTGGTTGTTATTAATTAATATCTTAAATTGGACATAACTGTATGCGTCTATGAGGCACTCTACACACATAATTTGCACTAATCAAACTGAGGTCATTTATTTTCTATCTCTTTGTCTTCAAGTGCCTGTCCTCTCATTATTTATAAAATGTGTAACAGGTTGTTGTGAAGTGTAGTCTCTCACTGTGCTGTAGAACAAGAGAACGTATTTCTTCTCTGTTTTAGCACTGCCCTGGTTAGTTTTCTGTTTCTGTAATAAACACCATGACCAAAAACAATTTGGGGAAGAAAGGTTTATTTGGCTTACAGGTCACAGTCCATCATGGAGAGAAGTCAGAATAGGAGCTCAAGGACCCAAAGGCAGGAACTGAAGCAAAGACCATGGAGGAACGCTGCTTACTGGCTTGCTTTGGCCTACCTGCCTAGGGATGGTATTACCCACAGTGGGCTGGGCCCCCCAACATCAATTAGCAGTCAAGAAAATGCCTCACAGACATGGCCAGGGCCAATCTGATGAAGGACTTTCCTCAAGTGAGGTTTCTTCTTCCCAGTGGCTTTTGTTTGTGTCAAGTTGACAAAAGTTAACCATCACAGGTACCTATTATCCAACCTCCCTTCACTTCCCCACACTTCTGAGTTTCTGGAAATCAGTATTATGCATTCTGATCAACTTTTAAAATATGCATGTAGGAGACAAGTGGTTCCCATCTGAGTTATTTAATTAATGTTGTGTCTTCTGCTTCTATTTTATAGCAAATGTTATGACTGAATAATATTCCATTGTATATCGAGTCCACATTCTCTTTATGCACCTGTTGTGGGTGTCTAGATTGGTTTGCTCTTTGCTATGGTGATCCTTGCTGTAGTAAATGTCAGCATGCAAATGTTTCTGTGGGATTCTTCATCTCTTTTGGACATCCCCAAATGGTGGGTCTATTTTTGAGTTTCTGAGGAGCTGTCATACTGTCCTCTATAGTCTACCTTGAATTCTTTTGGGTTAAACTTGGTACCCAAAAGATGTGAAAGAGCCTCAATTCCATCTCCAGATAACCTCCTTCTAACCCTTTATACTGGACCCACATTCCCAAAGGCCTTGATAAAAAAGAACAGGGAGAAAAGGCTCATCCTCATCGGGGGCAAGGAGGAAGTATTGCATAGTGAAGGGCACCTGTGCATGCTGTATGCTGGGCAGCCAGCCCCTGAGTGGCCCTCACAGCCTGGACACCTGGTTCTCTTCAGGCCTATCTACCACCCACATGAGACTAGGAAACATGCTCTGTGCTCAGTCAGGCAGGCCACGTCTCCTGTGGCTGCACTTTTAGGCCAGAGGCTGGGAGCTTGTTCTCTCCCCAGAGCTCTAGATACCGAGTCAGCCAGAACTGCAGTCCATTGGCTCAAGGGATCAGCATTCTTCAGATCAGCATACTTCATCTGTGACAGTTCTCCATGCCAGCTAGAAAAAAAGAAAAAGCTATCTATCTATCTATCTATCTATCTATCTATCTATCTATCTATCTATCATCTATCTATCATTACCCAAGCTATCTTATGGACTAGTGGGAAACTCATACAGCTTTGAATCTTAAGTGGTTTTATGATATGGGAAGATGGTAATTTTTACAAAGGATGGTTAGTCTATTAAGAGGTAGAGGTGAGAGCTTTGGTTGAGTCTGGGAAGTGGTTTTGTCAGAGAGAGAGAGAGAGAGAGAGAGAGAGAGAGAGAGAGAGAGAAACAGCCAGCAGCTGCAGGGCTACAGCTGGGCATCCCACCTTGCTGTCACCCAACCTCCTTGCCCCCATGAGGATGAGCCCTCTGTGACTGCTCTCTGTTCTCTTGCTTGTCCTTACACAGAGTTCAGCCTCCTTGGTTGCACCTTCAGTCATGGCCCCCAGTTCTTTTGTAGCCCAGAAGACCCTCTGCTCCCAGGACTCACAGGAACACGTAGATATGCAGATAGGGAGCCCTGCTCAGTCCAGCTGACCACCGCTTTCTCTCTTCCTCAGACAGCCCAGGCCTGAGTGTAGTACTTCCCACTGCCTTCCGTGGTATTTGGTCCCTTGTGGGGAGCCCTACTAAGCCTATATCTCACTTCGAACCCAAAATCTGGAGCTATGTGTGAGTCTCTGGGTAGTCTGACCAGGGCAAGGCAGAGCCATCAATTCTTCCTTCTAGAACTGTCCACTAGACCTCAGCACAGTTGCTGCATTGTACACAGGTGACTTGTGGCTGGGAGCGGCTGCCATGAGCATTGTAGGGTGTTTCGTGGGTTCCCTGGTCCAATTGCATGCCAAGACTGCCTCTATCCTTTCCCAACTCTCCAGTTTGATAACCAATTCTCCAGTCTCCAAGTGTTTGCTGAGATTAGTCATCCCGATTGTGAACCTTTGATCTAGATCTATAACCCCAGCCAGGAGGCCAGAACTAGCTTAGCTCAGGACTCTGCACAGGACCAGAAGGCCAGATAGAGACAGAAGGAAAGGATATGGGCAGGTAGAGAGCAGCTGAGCTGTGATATAGCCTTCCCTCAGGCCACCTCAGCTCCCCCTCTTCCTATGCAACCTCAGTCCAGTGTCTTCACCTCTCTGGGCCTCCAGAAGAGAGTGCGGTATTTGGAGGGCTAAAGCATGAAGAACACCGGAATAGGTGGCACAGGTCCGGCCTTCACCTTCCCTCCTTCTGACACTTACCCTGGTGCCTGCCTTGGACTGAGAGAAATCCAGCCAGCCAAAGAAGGTGGTTGAAAAAGGGAGTCAAACAGAGATCCCCATGGTCTTAGACCTCAGAATGAGGGGAAACTGGGGACTGAGGATGGGAGCTTGAACCTCCAGAGAACAGGTAACATGGCTCTAGTTTTAGATGACTGAATTTTTTCTGGATTAATCACATTTCCCAGAATAATTTTTCATCCTTTCTTTCTGATTGTAACCCATTTCCCTCTAATAGTGCCCAGGCAATGTTTTAGTCAGGTTTCTGGCAGATTCACAGCTCAGTAGGTTCTCTCCAAATGGCTTTGTTGCCGTTTGAGTTTCTAAAAACATTCACAGAACTGTGCATCCAGTATGGGGATGAACAGCATCTCCTGAGGGAGAAAGGCTCAGGTCAGGAAAGCTCTCCAGTACAGGGCTGGGCTGAGGGGAAGCCGCCCCACCACCTTACCACCTCCTCCTGGGGTGTTTTAGTTTGCTTTCCTATTGCTATGATAAAAACTGACCAAAACCAACTTGAAGAGGAAAGGGTTCATTTCGTCTTACAGGTCCATCACTGGGGGAAGCCAGGACAGGAGCTCAAGCCAGGAACCTGGAGGCAGGAACTAAAGCAGAGACCATGGAGGAACACTGCTTACTGGCTTGTTCCCTCTGGCTTGCTCAGCCTGCTTTCTTATACAGCCCAGGCCTACCTGCCCGGGGAGGGTACTACCCACAGTGGGCTGGGCCCTCCTACATCAATTAGCAATCAATAAAATGCCCCCACAGACATGTCCACAGGCCAATCTAATGGAGGAAATTCCTCAATTGAGGTTCACCCCTCCCAGGTGTATCAAGTAGACAACCAAGATTAGCCATCACACAAGGCCTTCTCGTGTACATACAGATCCACCCCAAGCAAGATTTGGATGCTGGGTACACATGTCTCCTGCCACTTCATGTACATCTCCAGCACCGTTTCTGTGTAGAGTCAAAAACATTCCCTGTAGATTAAGCATTAATTGAAGGGAACCCCCTAAATTCCCCAGTGAGGACATTGGCCCTTACTTGGCAGAAGTATGAATTAAAGAGACCCTCAGGAATCCTCTGATGAGGACACTGGCCCTGAAAATAGAGCCTTAGGCAAGTTAGAACCATGCCATTGGACAGGCCCAGAATTCAGGGCTCTGAGTTAGAAGGGCTCATGGGCAAAGTTTGTGGACCAGATCTGGCCACCTGGGGGTGAAGGAGAGGGACAATTAAGTAGAAGGGACAGCATGAGTGAAGTCTAGAGTGGCGTCATCTTGCATGAGAGCCACCAAACACAGGTTGCTATAGGGCACTTGAAATGTGATCCATCCCAGTTAAGTATATACTGCAGGTTTGGGATTGCCAAAATTTAGTTATGATAAAAAATATAACTAATTCTCTTTATAACAATTCCATAGTGGAATGATAAGCTAAATATACAATGAAAAGTAAGTTCTCTGTGTGTGTGTGTGTGTGTGCCTGTGTGTGTGTGTGTGTGTGTGCCTGTGTATGTACACTCATGTGTATGGGTGTGAGGATGTGGAGGCCGGACCTTGGGTGTTGTTCCTCAGGTTCTGTTCACTTTTCTTTTTGAGACAGGGTCTCTCATTGGCCTGGAGTCACCAGCTGGCCTAGTCTGACTGGACAGTAAGCCCCCGAGATCCAGCTGCCTGTACCTCCCAAATGCTAGGATCACAAGTGCCAGGCACGGCCCCCAGCTTTTCTGCATGGGTTCTGCAGATCAAATGCAGGTCCTCATGCTTGCTAGGCAAGTGTTTTACTGACTGAGCCATCTCCTCAGTCTTGTCCACTTATCCACTAGTGCAGCATATCAGATCATATCTGGACCTGGCTTGCCCTTGACCAGCCATTGCAGTCTGCTACCAAGGAGGTTTAGTGTGAGGGATTCGATGCCCAGGTCACAGCCCACTTTCCTAGAACTCTAGCTGCTCGTGTGATCCCTCAGTGAGCAGGGGTCCACTAGGGGCCATTCCAGGCGCATTGTCCTCTCCCACCTTTTTCCCCATCCAGCACCCTAGAAGCCAAAGCATGTCTTCTTTTGGGGGGGGGTCAGGAGGGGATAGCAGGCCTCAAGACAATATCCCTGGGAG